CACAAATCCATACGGCTCCCCATCTCCAGTGAATAGTTTGGCATACTTTTTGCATAACTCGTGAATGTTTGGTTTCTTTGACGAGACATCCGCTGCAACTCTTATTTCAGCACTTCGCTACTTTCGTGTATTGTCAATGAACCATATTTCGTGACCACCTTACCGCTTCTTAAGTCAACTATCGCTTTTACTTCTCTTAGGAAATCTGCTCCTAATATCGGTCTCGATAAGCTTGTGGTTACGACGAACGGAAAATTTATCTCAGCATCCCCCACTTTTACGATACTGTTAGATACGCCAAACACCTCTAACATATGGCCCCCTATCGTGTGGACAGCTAATGTACACGGCTTGATTCTCTTACATTGCTCTTTGCCTATTAACGATACTGCTGCACCTGTATCGATCAGACAAACTAAATCTCGCTCATTTATGTTCACTCTCGTATATACTGCCCCTCTGTCTACTAACGCAACAATCCCCAGATTCCTAGGATAGAAAGAACACTCGTTGTAACGTCTAACATATCTGCGTTTCGTCTTGTTGGACAGTTTATCTTCCAATGTCCTGTCCCTCCACAAGCGTAACATTTATCGTTCCTTTTATTGTTCACTCGTATTGCTGCAATCTCACGCTCCAGCTCCTCAATCTTCTTCTCGACATTACTCATCTCCTGCTTTTCGCACCCGACTGGAGCTACTGTTCGCGTCATCAGCTGACGAGTCACCTTCGCCAGTTCACTGATATCCATCGGTTGCGCTGCGTTCACCAGTTTCAGTTGTTGGGAGACGGTGGCAGGCACACTCTCGATAAACTGTGACGCCAACAACTGTGCCTCCGACTCCTCATCCAGACTCGGCAGCGCACGGCGTAACAATCTGGTAAGCTCCACAGCCAGCACCAGTGGGTCACCATCGACCGGCAACCTCGCCAACCGGAACTTCTGCAGCGCGTCCTCTCTGTCCACTGGGCTGTCAAACTCCGCCGCCAACCGCTCCGTGACTGCCTCCCATGTCGTCTTCCCGCCAGCACCGTCCAAGCTGTCATACACAGCCTTCGCCCTGCCTCTCAGCAGCGTCCCCAGCACCACCAACTTCGCCTTCGGCTCCTTCACTCCCACCAGCTCCGCCACGGCCTCAAACTCCTTCAGGAAGCTCAGCACATCTCCGTCCTCAAACTCCTTCGGCCATGGAATCTTCATCCTTAGTGGAGGCAGCGACACCAAATGTAGTGAAGAAGAACACGGGTGAGGACAACCAAATTGTATTTAGGACAAATTACAGAATTACTTGGTAAAATAGAAAAACCATATAGTAAATCGTTAATTTGCAAAATATTATTCTATCATATCAAACCGGACTGTTGCTGTTGCAAACATCAATCCATTGTCTCGCATTTCATTGTTCATGCGATTTCTTACAAATTCCATTGTTTTCTCGCTCTTCTTTTCTTGATCTTCTCCATCTTCTGCTGCCAGACGTTACGTTCTTTTGACTCACGTTATATACTACTTATATCAATATAAGTAGCACGCACCACAATAGGAGGCACAATATTTACACACAAACGTATACACGAAGCTACATGGATCTCACCGGACCACACTACAGAGAACCAGATAGATCATATCTGCATCAATAAAAAATTCCGAAGGACAATGGAAGATGTGAGAACCAGGAGAGGAGCTGATATAGCTTCAGATCACCATCTAGTTGTGGCCAATTTAAAACTGAAGCTAAAGAAAAACTGGACAACTAGACAAACAGCACTACAAAGGTTCAATACAACCTTCCTTCGAGATACTAACAAAATCAACGAATTCAAGATAGCTCTCAACAACAGGTTCCAAGCCTTACAGGATCTACTGAGTGAAGAAGAAACTACTACGGAGGACAACTGGAAAAGTATCAGTTGGGTGGCACTTGTTACTATACACCAACTTCATTGATTATGAAAAGGCATTTGACAGTGTAGACAGGAGGAAGTTATGGAAACTTCTTAGACACTACGGAGTTCCTGAGAAGATTGTCAATATTATCCGGAACTCATATGACGGACTACAGTGCAAGGTCGTGCATGGAAGACAGCTGACAGATGCATTCCAAGTAAGGACCGGAGTCAGACAAGGCTGTCTACTCTCTCCTTTCCTTTTTCTTCTGGTGGTCGACTGGATTATGAAGAACTCCACATCTGAGGGAAAACACGGAATACAATGAACTGCTCAGAACCAATTAGACGATTCGGACTTTGCAGATGACCTAGCCCTCCTATCGCATACACATGAACAAATGCAGATAAAGACGGCCAGTGTAGCAGCAGTCTCTGCACCAGTAGGCCTCAACATACACAAAGGGAAACCAAGGTCCTCAAATACAATACAGAAAACACCAACCCAATCACACTTGATGGCGAAACTCTGGAAGATGTGGAATCCTTCACGTACATGGGAAGCATCATGGATGAACAAGGAGGTTCAGATGCAGACGTAAAGGCGAGGATTGGCAAAGCGAGGGCCACATTCCTACAATTGAAGGACATGTGGAACTCAAAACAACTTTCAACCAATATCAAAGTCAGAATCTTCAATACGAATGTCAAGGCAGTTCTACTGTACGGAGCTGAAACTTGGAGAACTACAACAACCATCATTAAGAAGGTGCAAGTATTTATAAATAGTTGTCTACGCAAAATACTCAACATCCATTGGCCGGATACCATCAGCAACAGCCTTTTGTGGGAGAGAACAAACCAGCTTACAGCTGAGGAGGAAATTAGGAAAAGACGATGGAAATGGATAGGACATACATTGCGCAAATCACCAAACTGCATCACTAGACAAGCCCTAACTTGGGATCCTGAAGGAAAGTGGAAAAGAGGGAGGCCAAAGAACACATTACGTCGGGAAATAAAATCAGATATGGAAAGGGTGAATAACAACTGGAAGGAGCTCGAAAGGATTGCCCGGGACGAGGTAGGATGGCGAATGCTGGTGAAAGGCCTATGTTCCTTCACGAGGAGTAACAGGCGTAAGTAAGTATCTGCCAAACACTCCCCATGGTCATTGTGCAGACTCATTGTCAGTCTATGCTTAAGTTGGCTTTGTTCTTCATCACAATCACAGCAAAACAGGATGAGTTTCAGAGCAACTTTCGGTTTATTAAATGATAGGGAAATCGATTGATGTTTCTTAACCTTTTGGTTGAAGTTACCGGTAGATTTTACTGCTGTTTTCACGACTACCTAGATGATATGCCAGCCCAAATCGGGGTGAACATCATTCTCATAGTTGATTAACTGCTCTTCTAATTGTTCTTGAAACATTCTCAACATTTTCGTACTTATTTTGGACTCTGAAGGGTCCTTTTATTGCGGCTTTTCTGAGCCCAGCAGGACGCAAATAAACGTGTTCGCAACAAGCATGATTAGAGTCAAGAAATGTGCTCCATAGTGAGCGGCAGTCTTCTGTCGACCACTCCAATGATGTATTCTGTTTGTGCTTATCTTTAAGTCAATTTCGCGCATCACCGTGTTAGACGATGTCTTTTCTTACGCTTGCGGTTGGTGCTTCTTAAGAATAAACGGCTGTCTGAACATAGTTCCATCAGCCGGTTGGCATTCATTGTTAGCCGAGTTGCGACACTGTAAGAACCACACAAATGTCTTTCACTTCCGTTGAGCTAACTACTTAAACACTAAAATCACCTGCTACGTCTGAGAGTTAGGCTTTTCGAAAGAACTTGGAGTGTTTTCCATAACACTCGTTTTCCAATTCATTCGAGTTCCAGTTAGTAGGAGCGTAGACAGAGATAACTAAGAGAAAAAAGCGTATTCACCTATCTTTCAGTGCTCTTACGTCCCCATTTAATCGGACAGCGCACAAGCAACTATCCATTACAATTCAGTCTCAGAGGGCCTGATCTACTGTTGAATTAGTGCAATACCCACACCATCAAAGGTCGCGAGAGTTGGCAGTCACGTCCCAGATGCAAGGAGGGCAAATCATCATGGGTCTCTGTAAAAACCAGGTAACGTCAAGTCAACGGACCACAATTGAATCCTGTATCTGTGTTTCGAAGACTAGAGTCCTAGTTACAGAAATCTGTTGGTCTACTTGACACTATGTCCGAATATTGCAAGCCCCAACGTGTAGTTTAGAGAGCGTTTTTAAGAGACCAGGGATAACATATCGTCGACTTGAATAGTTAGCATTAGTCGTCCATAGGGATAGATGGAACATTAAGAATTGATGGAGGAATTTAATCGTGAGCACGAGCATCTCGGATGCCACTAAGGGTATGACAGAGGCTATCACTTCCCAGTTGTCCACACCGTGGAAAAATATATCTGCTCGGGAGACCTGAAAAGGAAATTGAGTTGGTAGTTGTCGTGGAGACTTGTGAGCATCACCGCAGAGTCCAAGAGACAACTGCTTGAGAGGAGGCACACACGCCCTTCCTGTCAGAAGTTTGCAATGTGTTAGCTCCGTGCTTTAGAGGCCCCCACTGCCGGAGAGGGAAATCCGTGGGGTAGGGTGAGGTGGAACACTGTTAGGATCGAGTTATCCTAACCTCTTCAGTTGTAAGAAGCCAGCATCACTGAAAATGTTGTCAGGCTGAGAGAAACACATTACCGCTGTCACACTTCAGTAAGATCACCACCAACACTACTTCGCCCTCGGACTATGAGTATACTTCTATTAGTCTGACAGTTTTGTGACCGACCTACTTGGCATGGTAGGACCTAAAAGAATATTTGTTTCGGTCAACATAGCCCGATCGGATCACTACAAGAGGCGAATCCGATCTCCACCTCAAGGTAGCAGCTACGATCTGGATATAGGTGCTTCTAGATGATGATTTATAAATAGAATGAAAATGGCGTTATGAATTCTACTACTAGTCAATATTTCACGCAAAACAAATGGACACCGCTTACGTATACCTCATTTATAAAAATACATCTAACCGGAAAATAAAAGACAGAAAATGTGATGGATTCACCTGGACAGTGACTACCCCACTGTGAAGTACTCAGTAAATCAAACAAGCCTCGAGTTTTATTAACTTCAGAGGACAAAAATTGGCGTTTCTGGTGATAAACATTGTGTAATTTAGTTTCCTGTTCATTTGCGCCCATTTCGTTTGATGTTACAGTTGATTTTGGCAATGACTGACCGTTCAATTCATACACAGAGTAAAGAGAAAGTGCGGTTAAACGAGATCGTAGTAAACCAACAGCTTCAGGAGATGACGGATTGATTAATCTGAAAGGCGAGGTTTGTAAAGAATGACCCGTCGAAGGTAAATACCAGGAATTCCATAAGTGTATAACAGCTTCCACACCTTTATCCAGCATGGTTTGGTGAATTTCGACCAACTGATCAGAAAGTGTTGATCGAATTCCATGAGTTCTACATTCTAATGGGGTCTGGAATAAAAGTGACCAATATTTGTTACTCTTTTATGACATAAACTTTGACAATGAAAGGATAATGTTATATTTGGTAAAACACATTTAATGCTTAAATTCTCAATTTATAATAATATAGGTATCATTATGGGCTGAAATCTAGCTTCATCCATCTGCACTTGAGGGACAACATTGTAGTATCACTAGTCTTAACATATCATGTGTAATTCAATCATCAATTGACATGGAAATTTTATTGTTTCTTCCAAATACTACATCCGCATTAACAGACATAGACTTTCAGAGAAAGGATATATTTTATTATTACTTATATCAGTCTGCCCAGATAACTACGGATATGGATTTGAGTTAGAAAATATCACAATTTCGGATAGAGGAAAAAGTACCGAATAACCTTCAGAGGCAACACGTTCAGAACAATCTACAATCAATAGACATCAATATTGATTAAACTTATCAACCGATACGGAAAATGTCAACCAAATAAAACAGTCAACACAGGAGTGGTAACAAAACTTGCGAATGTTGAACTTGATAGTTTCAAATAAATTGAGCATTGAATAGAAAGTTAATGACAAATGTATTTTTTTATATACTAATAAGCAGAAAATTGTATTTCTGACGTTTCGTGACTTGAAGTGAACCACGTCTTCAGAATAAATAAATAACTGAGTTAAATTACCCCACAAGTTTAAATAGTACAGAGGATACAATGTCAGAAGCACAATTTCCTACTCACTGGGATATAGCAAAAAATATGTTTATCATTAAAATCTGAGATGATGACTGGCTACAAATAAGGTCAACAGAACAAACTGATCTAGTACTTATCGAATAATTTTTAAAAAGCTCACTTCTACTGATGACTATGTTTAAAACAGCAACGAGAGTTCTACAAATAAATCATACAGCTTGAAGAAAGTAACACCATCAAAAAACATCCATTCAAGTTATATATCTCCATCACATCCAGCTACGTCAACAAACTGTAGCTGACCTCTTCTGAAAATTAATTTTCCGAAAACCATATAAAATTGTCAACCCACACAAAACAAGTCTGGTTTAAAGTCAAGTGTAAAATTATGCAATTGGTTATATTTATGTCTCACCCTAGGTTGATCAATGCTAAACAAATCAATTAAAGCGACAAACGACAATAATAATAAAAAAGATGATAAACTAGTTTATTACCTCAATTTTTTCCAAAGACTTAGAAATATCCACTTCCTTGGCATTGTTTGCACTGGGGATTAAAAAAACGACAGAAAGAAACGTTTATTAGTATTCAAATGAACTTTTGTAACAATAAGAAAAGTGGTAGAGGAGGAAATTATGGCTACTGAAGTCAATGACGATAATCATAAAAGCTTAAGTGATCTTCAATATACGTCCGCAACTACATAACACAATGTCATTTTAAGTAATTTCCTATTATCAAAAGTTTTAAATAAGGTGAGAATAACAAGTTTTGCAGAATACAATGAATTTAATAGGTAATTTGATGTCATCTCATAGCTCCTTATAAGCTAATCAGTTCATTAAACTTGGAATTTTAATGAACATGAAGAGCAGTATACTGTCTCGAAAGTAAACTTGTAGAGTAGTATAATTAAGTACGCTTTTAATGGAGGTTTACATTTGTAATTGGAACGATAGTTTTATGAGTTTTTGAAACCATAACTTTATGGAGTAATATCATCAGCGAAAATTCTAAGGATATGCGACTATAAAAATGCTCTTAGTTCAACTAACTGCTATTTAGAATTAAAAGGGGGAACAAAGTTGTTTATAATGTTCAGTTCTGTCACTAAAACAGTTGAAAGTCAACTAATGATTCCGTTCCCCCAAATGTCTGGGTACGAACGAGAGTGGGGAAAGTCAGCTCTCTCTCGAGATCCTCTCACATGGCCACGCGTATATAGCCTCTGCCAGGGAAGTTCTACCCATTGTCTTCTCACGGCATTACTATTGTTTACGAAAATGAGAGGACGGAAAGCGAATGTCAGGCGGTTTCACCGGGTTGGTGGACATGGAGAGTCCACCTAAGAGTTGGAAAACACTGATTCCAAACCAATGGTGCACATGGGCTCCAGTATCCTGAAGGAACAAATGGCGTACGAACCAACTATTGGTCACCGGCTACCATGAGACTGAATATACTGATGTTGCTCCACTGCTTTGTGGATCAAACCTTCAGGTAGGACGCTCCCGGTTTGACCCCCCGAGAAAACCACATGCTTCGGTTTGAGCAACTGGACAGTATCACAGCCCCCACATAAATCGAATGATTTATGTGGCGCATATGTATTTGGTGCCTCCTTGCCAGTCAGTCAGTCAGTCAGCTACAACGTAGGACCACGCACATACATGCATCGGTCCAAGTTGCCATACCTCATTAACACAACAAGATGGACACGGGATTCATAAAAGTAGTTAATCCAGAGGTGGTAATATACAAAAGGAAGACTGCGATAAGGATATAGTACAGGAAGAAAGAATTAGTTCGTAGAAAGAAAGATATGAAGTGATTTTAATCTCTTAGTTTAAGGGAAGACAGGAGTGTATACACTGACGCCATTGTGATCGATTCTGAGCCATGTCACCAAGAGTCTCCAACCATCGGTTACGAAAGTCACGCGGACCCCAACCAAGTAGTCTGCATCTACCAACATGGCTCAGACTAGAAGTTAGTGACTTCAAGCACTGATGCCACGTTTTGGTTTGGCCGCCCCTAACTTTCTTCCAACCATCCCGAACACCGGTTAGCATTGCACGTCGTGGTAATCGGTGTTCAGGCATACGTAACACGTGGCCCAACCATCTCAGTCGATGAAGATTCACAACCTCATCAACTGATTTACCATCATTCCCTAATACCCTGCGTCTAACCTCACTATTACTTACCCGGTGATCCCAGCAGACGCCAGCAATATTTCTAAGGCATCTGTGGTCAAATACTAGTAGCTTACGAGTGTCTTCTACTCTTAATGGCCATGTTTCGCTGCCGTAAATTAAAACAGAACGGACTGCCGCGCAGTATACTCGTCCTTTTATTGATAGACGGATATCTCGCCTTCGCCAAAGGTGACGTAAGTTGGCAAAAGCCAAGCGAGCTTTTCGAATCCGTGCTGAGATTTCGTCAGACACCAACCCATTAGGGCTGATCAGACTTCCAAGATAAGTGAAGTTGTCAACGCGTTCGACTACTTCACTCCCTATCCTTAGTTCAGGTGTTGACGCAGACCAGTCCTGAAGCAACAACTTGCATTTAGAGGGAGAGAAGCGCATTCCAAACATTCTGGCATTGTTGCTTAGTGCTACCAAAAGACTCTGCATTTTATCAGCGTCTTCACCAAACAGGACTATGTCATCTGCGTATTCTAAGTCGATAAGTGGACCTCCTGGAAGGAGATCAATACCCGAGAATTCAGTCGACGAGAATGTTATTTCCATCAGTATGTCTATGATGAAGTTAAACAAAAATGGAGAAAGTGGACAGCCTTGACGGACACCACTTGAGGTTGCAAAAGCAGACGACAGTTCGCCATAAGCTCTGACTCGACTAGTAGTGTTCGAGTAAAGAGCCTTCACAAGGTTTATGTACTTCTGAGGTACGCCTTTCAATGACAGACACTGCCACAGAATCTCGCGGTCTACCGAGTCAAATGCTGCTTTTAAGTCAAGAAAGACCACCATTGTCGGACGCCGATAAGTATGCCTATGTTCTAGAACCTGACGAATGGTGAATATGTGGTCGATGCAGCCACGACCAGGTCTGAAGCCAGCTTGATTCTCTCGTGTTTGCAGTTCACGAGTCTTAGTTAGGCGTCTGATAATTATCGAGGCTAGTATTTTAGATACTATATTAGTTAAACTAATCCCTCTGTGGTTGTCACAGGATGATTTTGACCCTCTCTTATATATTGGGACGATAAGTGATTGTGACCAGTCAGATGGAATAACGTCTAACTCCCAGATCTTAGCTAAAATATTAGTCAACCTAATCGCTAAAATTGGACCACCATCCTTAAAGACCTCTGGAGTTAGTCCATCTGGACCAGCTGCCCTTCCTCGTTTCAGATTAACTATAGCCTTTTGAACTTCTGCTAGAGTTGGGGGACCTACTTCAATGTTCCATTCACACTGTCTGGGAATGGAGGGTAGTTGTAGAGTAGCTGAAGGCCAGCTGAACTGTTCTCTGAAATGTTCCGCCCATCGTTCTAAACGTCTGGACTGGGAGCAGATGAGAGTGTCGTCTTTTTCCGAAATAATCTCACTTACACTTGACTTATTAATTCCAGTTTCTTTTATTAGTCTGTAAAGCTGTCTTGTGTTCCCTATAGCCGCCGCCTTTTCCATCTCTTTTGCTTTCGTTGCCCACCACTGCTCACGGTCGTTCCTTAGACTTTTGGTTAACCTAGATCTGATTTGTTTCGCTCTTCATCGTGTTCAGAGCCTGATGGGATGAGTTTACGAGAATCCATCAGTGCAATAGACCTTGAGGAAATCCATTGGTTCTTTGTAACCCTGTGGTTTAAATCACTGATAGATGTCACTGCTGTTTCCACAGCTGTTTGTATAGCTTTCCAAGCAACATCTGGGTCAGCCTCGTTTTCAGAACTACCTAATTGTGACCTCAGTTGTTCCTGGAACCTACTTTTGGTTTTCTCGCTACTCAATTCAGTTCTAATGGGTCTTTTTAATGTGGCTTTTTTGCGTCCAGTGAGGCGCAAGCAGATGCGTGCCCGTATTAGGGCGTGGTCGGAGTCCAAGCAGGTACTCCAGAATGAGCGACAATCTTCTACCGACCCTCTCCAACGATGACTGATGGCAATATGGTCTATTTGAGTCCATCGTTGGTTTGGTGTAGGGGGTCGCCATGTTAGACGATGTCTCTCCTTATGCTTAAAATTTGTGTTTGCTAAAAATAAACGATTGTCTGAGCACAGTTGCAGCAGACGATCACCATTATCTGTTCGCTGTGCCGGAATACTAAAATACCCACCTAAATGCCTTTCTGTTTGGTTTAAACTACCTATCTGGGCATTAAAGTCACCTGCTACGAGTACTATGTCTGAGCGTTTAGCTTTCTGAAGAAGTTCAGATAGCTTTCTGTAAAATTCATCTTTCACTTCATCTGAGCTGCAGTCAGTGGGAGCGTAGGCAGAAACGACAAAAGGCAACGACGTGTGTCCCTATCCTTCCGAGTTCTTACGGAGCCGTTTAGCCGAACAGCACATAAACGACTGTTGACGGGGATCCACTCTAGCAGTGCTTGTTCCGCCCTCATGCTTAGTGCTATGCCTACACCTGCCAGTCCACGAGAACTGGCCATCGGGTCACCAGATACACGAGGGTGTATCTCGTTGGCTCTCCGTTTTGCCGAGGTGAGGTCAAGTGAATGACCACACTGGATCCTGTATGCGTGTTTCAGAGACACAGCATACATCAATGGTACGAGATTCTAGGGTTTTAGCCAAGGAAGCCTGTTGACCGATTTGACATAGGGTGCGTACGTTGAAGGCTCCAATGTGTAGTTTGGAGCGAGGTTTCAGTAGACCTGGGACAGTGTTTTGAGCACTAGAATCGTTGGCTATGGTGACACTTGAGGGAGAAGCCGAAAAAGGAAGTTTAGAGGTGAAAGTCGATGTAGGAGGAATAATAGGAATTGAAGAGGAGGTTGATTATGAATACAGTGGTCTTGAGTGCTGTTAGAGGTATGAGGGCGGTTATCACTTCCCGGTTGCCCACACCGTGGAAGGGTTCTTCTGGAGGTACCTGAAAAGGAAATTGGATTAGAGGTGGTCTTAGTGACCTGAGAGCGTGACCGCAGTGCCCAAGGGACAACTGCTTGAGGTCGGTCACACACGACCTTTTTATGGGTAATTTTTGTGTTAGCTCCGTACTTGTTGAGACCTTACCGCCGGAGACGGATATCCGTGGGATAAGGCGAGGTGTGCATTTTTAGGGTCGACCTTTTCTAACCCCACCCCTCCTTGTGGGAAGGCAGCATCGCTGTCATGCTGGTTGTCTGAAGGAAACACCTTACTGCTGTCACACCTCTGTACAGTCAGCAGTACGACTTCGCCTTCGGACCTTGGGTTTGTTGCTTTTAGTCTTACCGCCCTTCAACCGACCTGTCTGACATGGTAGGACCTTGAGGAACGGTTGTTCCAACCAGTATAGCTCGGTTGCTTCATCACGATAGGCAAGCCCGACCACCACGTCAAGGTAGCAACAACGATCGGGGCCTCCTTGTGCCAATATATGTGTTCAAATAAATAAAGAAGATTGATGTTTAACCTTCTAACTACTCCGACCTTTGTAAATCACAGTAAGATAAGATAATACCGTTTGTTTGCTTTTTACTTTGAATGCACTTATTCACATCGTGTCTTTTGTTCAACATGTGAGGCGCACAATGAAATAATATTATCCTGGCCTACAAAACGTAAGCTCTTCTGGAAATATTCAGAAGACAATGTGAATACCCTGATTCCTACCCCTCGGTTGTACTTAATTTCTAAGTACACGTAAATTGATGTATACAGCTGGAGGTAAAATCTGACAAGTAATTATCTACCACTGCTGGTATTATTGAACATTGGATAGTATAAAGCAATACTAGTCTCATTGTACGAAGTTTATTCCTGAGTGTTATTTTTCGAAAACATGGTAATTCAATCACAATTGTAGTGATCATATAATATAAAATAGACTTTTTGTAAGGACGAAAAGTTCCTATTTTTAGATAAAACTATCTTAGACAACATACATTTTAAATATAAATCAAATGGGGAAAACCAACTTCTTAAGAACTTACAGGTTAGCTACTTTCTCAATTAAATGTGAGTCGATTATTTGCGGAACAGCTACCAAGATTTGATGAAGTAGTTCAAGCATTTTACTATTATTAACCCAACGAGATAGTAGCGACTCTATCACTAAATTGACAGCTCCTCCGTTAGCAATAAATTCTGTATTTTCAGTCACTAAATTCATCTACAAATTCAAGGAGAAAAAACCAACAAAATAGTAAGTCATGGAAAAGCTGAAAGCACTGGACGGCCGTCTCGTCCTAGTATGGAACTCTTCAGCAGTGCGCACGCACGATCCCGCTTCCGCGGGATTCGAACCCAGGACCTATCGGTCTCGCGCAAGGCGCTTAACCAACTAGACCACTGAGCTGACTGGCATCCAACGGTGTTAATATCTAACTTCAACCAATCCACAAAGTTGAGTCACCGTACACCATTGTTTTCAATGAGTTGATATCTCACAACAGACCTGGTTGAACTCCACTGGCCACGGCTTCCAGGATTTCCATGGTGGTCTAGCTTCAATCGACTCATGATTTTAACCAGTGAAATTTCTAAAATCTCCACAAAACCCCTTCTGATAATAATCATCTGCTCACTAGTGACTGGCTTCAAGAGATACTCCTGGAGTTCTAGTGAGAAGCCGTTACCAGTGGAGTTCAACCAGGTCTGTTGTGAGATATCAACTCACTGAAAACAATGGTGTACGGTGACTCAACTTTGTGGATTGGTTGAAGTTAGACATTAACACCGTTGGATGCCGGTCAGCTCAGTGGTCTAGTTGGTTAAGCGCTTGGCGCGAGAGTGGTAGGTCCTGGGTTCGCATCTCGCGGGGGACGAAATCGTGGATGCGCACTGCTGAAGAGTTCCATACTAGAACGGAACGGCCGTCCAGTGCTTTCAGGTTTTCCATGGTGGTCTAGCTTCAATTGACTCATGATTTTAACCAGTGAAAATAGTAAGTAACGAAATACTCAGTCATATGTAGAACCTGGTATATATCCGCATCTGTTCAAGTTAACCCATCACATCAACACAGTGAGATATCATTAGTATAAGCATTGGTGGTAGCAGAAAAATTAGGCACAGGAGATACGATTCGAAAAAATGTGGATTTGTGGAATTAAAATATTAAGATTATTAAGATGTTGATAATGTAAAGGAATACAAAGAGTGAATCCACCTGCACCATTGCAACAGACTCAGAACCACCACTCAGGAGTCTCTAAACATTAGTTTTTATAGTCACGCGAACCCTAACCATATAGTCCCCATCTACCTACAAGACTTAATCTATCATGAACTAATCCCACGTTTCGGTTCGGCCGCCTCGAGACCAATTCTAAGCTACTCCTACACCAGCTATTATCGCGCGTCGAGGTGTGCGGTGGTTAGGCAAATGTAGTACATATCGCAACAACCTTAGTCAGTGAAGATTCACTACCTCACCAACCGACTTGCCACCTTTACCTGACAACCTGAGTCTAACCTCAGCATTGTTCACTCAATATATAATCATGTGAATGGTCCCAACATACTTGAGTAATACTTCGAAAGGATCAAAATATGACTAATATATGAAGTATTTTGGATACGTTAACAGAAAATCTACCAGTTAATATATTCACATTTTTGTTGGGAATAACCTAATCATACTTACACTTACTCTTTTAACACATAAACGTCTGTTCGAAGCTAGCTTTAATGACATACTAACATTAACTGAGGAATTATAACGAAGGAGAAACTGGACAGTTGATTTAATCTAAGAGACTACATTTGTAACTTTGGTCAATATGAGATAGTCTTGTACTACAGATCTAATAATCATGGGTAGACGTTGATGAGAATCCTAAAACCACAGCACACTCGTTTCAATAATTTTCCAGTTGATGCCAGAAAAAGACGGATAATAAATGTGAATTGGATTATTTCCATAAGCTTCCTACTTAAAGAGTATTATTATTTAGGGCCACTAACTAATATCACATGAAAAGACCAACAACCAGAACACTGATTGTCATTACTCCGTCCCTGAGCCAACCAGTGACAGGTCAACCAGAAAGAGTAGCCTTGAATCACTGCTAAGTCCTTGTTGATTCCCGATATAGCGACTTCCCTCCCTACGCTCCCGTTGAGTCCAGAACACAATAATCAGCCTTCACTATAGGAATATTATGTCGCAAACATACTTAGTTTATATTCAGACATACCCTACCACACCACACCATAGAACGAAAACTAACAATTATACATGATCGAGTCAATAAGTGGTTGGGCAGGAGAGACTGTAAATAGTAAGCTGACAACAGCATGAGAATAATAAATCATACAACAGTATTCAACTCATCGTAAACCATTTGTGCATATTATCAATTGTGATTATTACGTGAAGTTTCTAAATTACGACTTTACAAAAAGTACAACGTACGAATTTTTTGTTTTCCGCTGCCTCTCTTTCTAATGTTTTAGTTTCTTCTTTTTATTACATCCATTCAGGTTGATATCTGCAGATGTGTTGGCCGAATCAACATCACAGTTTTCATATCGTGGGAGGACACGAGTGCGGAAAAAATCAAAAGCATTGATCTCTAACTTGGCTAATTCCAAATGTAATAGATCACACTCAGGATTTAAAGAGATTCCTTCAGTTATCAAATGACGAGCTTCCCGAATGGCATTCAGATGAGCCCTGTCCCAAGTAAGACGACGTTCTCTGACCATTTCTTTAGCTGCTTTATCTAAGGAAGCTTGATTTTCTTCTAAAATTTTTGTGTTGAAACAAATGAATACTAGAGCATTTAAAAATTAAGGTACCAAAGGTAAAAATAAAAAAATTGGTGAATGATGCCAAGTCGATAACATTAAAAGGTTTTATTATTAATGACTTTATTCAATATTATATTTTGGTGCAATATAGAATTCTCAGCACAAGGAAGGGTGAAGTTATTGTAATAGGTCTAAATTTCACATTCTTATCGTCAGATACTTTCTTGGGTACAGGGATTATCTTCATCTTTCTCCACATTTTTGGTATGAGATTAGATGGGAAGGATCTGTTAAAGATAGTCGTGAATAGATAACAGGACGTCAGCACATTTTCTGAAAAATGTTAGGGATAAAATCAGGTCCTTAACATCGGGATAAATTAAATGATTGGAGACATCTTAGGATATCAGTTTCAGTGAAACTAGGAACACAACTATTCTTTAAACCTGTGGATATAGGGAGCATTACATCAGATGACTGACGTACAAAAGACTTATTTAAGTCACAAACATTCAGGTGGTTATCGCTCCTAATGTGTCTGTCACCTGTAAGCTCTTTTAAGAGTTTCCACATACTTGTAGAGTTTTTACAGGACCAAGACAAGCTTTTGAGTAAACATAGAGTTGAGACGTCTAACCTCTAGGTTTATCAAACCATTTAGCTTACGAACTTCATTAGAGTTTTTCTTCTTGTACATTTTTCCTTTCACCCTCCGTAGTCGTTTTAGTTGTGAAGATGTAAGTCGATCAAAACTTACAAAAATGGTTTCAGTGGGACAACAAATATCAAAACAGAATTTAAGGTAACAAGTGATAACATCAGTAGTGATTTCCAGTGAGTCATCTGTAAATAATTCCCAGTTAGTCGTATGAAACATGTTTTTCATATTTCTAATATTTTCTTCTGAGTAATTCCTATATTTGACTTTCTTGGTTTGATGTGAGAGTGTACTCTTCCCATGTTTTCCATATAATTTAGGTAGAATACGAATTATACAGTGATCCAAGCTAGACAATGGAGCACGTATACGAGTCACATCTATACCCACATCATTAATGAAAACGAAGTCTAAATGAGCATCCAAACGAGTAGGAAAATCTACTACATTTTGGTGACCTAGTGATGTAAGGAAGCTATAGTCACATGAATTGAAATCACCACATACAACTCAAAGTGAATCACTGAAGGTAGTAACAACGAACTCAGTGAATTCGTCAGCGAAGACAGATAACGCAGATGATGTGCAGTCTGGAGTCACGTATATATTGGTAACACAAATATATTTGTATTTATTCAGATAGTCGATAAGTTCATTTGAAAACTTGAAACACGCAAACGTAGGTCAATAGGGAACGTAATAAGGTGAACATATTTACTGACCACATAATGTTTTAGTATGTTAATATACTAAGAACATTTATTATGTGCATAGAAACGGTCAACCAACTAAAATTTCCAAACAAAATGCCTTATATTTAAGTTTTTCTGTTTACCTAAACTTGGTCGAAACATCATTCAGCATAGAGCGCGGACATATAAAAATGAGGTGTTATTTTATTTGGCGACTTACTTAACTCTTCCATAAGCTCGTTTATTTCTTTCTTCTGTGCCTCTGATGCGTGACGATCCAATATCATATATTCACTCAGTAATCTTTTCCGCGTCTTCACCAAATCACTTTTTTGTCTGTCAAAATGTCGTAAATTTTCACGAGCTTTCGATCTAACACCATGATGTAAATGGTATGCGGCTGCAGCAATCCAAAGCCTTGGTTCTGTGCGACCATGTATCTGAAGTACATTATTCCATATGCGTACAACAGACAAATGCCGGTTGATAATTTTACAAAAATGAATAAATCTCATCCAAAGGTCAAGATGAGACTGGAACCTGTAACACAATTGCTATAGAGCACATCAAGTTTTCATAGAAAAAAATTACCCGATGCAAGCGTACTAGACGACTAATAATTGACTTCTCAATTTTGTCGAGATATCTGCTATCGTTTGTAATCTAGAACATAAGTCTTATGAAAATGAATTCAACCTGACGACGAAAGCGTAACAATTTCATTATTGTTATTTCAGTGCTTATGTAGGCGTCATAGTCTAAAATTCGTTTGTTACGCTTCTGAAGACTGTATTCATGGTGTCTTCGTTACGAACTATCTCACTACGGAAACGAGAGAAGGGATAAATTAATTGAGCAGTAAAAGAAAAGATAACACCCAAAAATCTCAAAGAATACTTGAAGAATCGGTCCTAATTATTAATTAATTACAAGTACTAAGTGTAAAATAAGCATAATTATGCGCTCAGGAATGTGAGCAAATACATTGCATGACGCAACTTCATGCATGTTTAATACTTCCACACCCGTTTAGTGGGACTATTATGAAGCCTAATAATGATAAAACGAAGTATTCTTGACATACTAGAAAAGTTAGTAAATACGAGATTACCTAACATAGTATTTCTACATGTGCCTAACTTGATGGCCCAAATATAGTCCGCTAACTTTGCGTTTGAAACATGTAATATTAATATCATGACATGTAATATTGCATATCGGCTGCACATTAAGATAGATACGAGACGCACTTAGATAATGACGAAAATATACACAGACTTACTTGGTCTCCAATCTGTTAAAAAGTTTCGCCTTTCGAATATACAGAATCTCGCCAACGGAATCCTCCAAATTGCGTTCTACTACTTCTGCCATCGCCCTTCACTATGAGTTGTAGAGCAACGATGAGAAGATTATTTCTAGTGATCTTATGAAAAAGTGACGCTAAACCGTTCCTTGAGAGGTCAGAAAATTCAATCTCAATAGTGGTTATGAAGAGCCGCAACTCATAACATGCTTTCACCAGACGGCCTTCACGACAAAACTTCCGCTGTCCAATTCCCAATATATTTAGGATGGGCCTGTAGAAACAGGTTGTTTCCTTCGTCATCTTTCCTTTGCGTCAAAGTGTAGCTCCCGTTCCCCAGTTTCGTCCAATGTAAACAGTCTCTCCAGTCTCACCCAGAAACTGGAAACACAACATAGCAAGACGGAATATAGACACAACTTCTACTCCTTAAGAGTTGTCAAAATCTGGAATTCGCTGCCAGCCGAGCTAGTCCAAGCGACTTCTCAGGAGTCCTTCAAGAGGCAACTTGACCTTTTCCTAAGGACCAAGGACAGCATCACACTATGATTTACCAATTTCTTTTCCTCTTTTATTGTTAACATACCTAGGTTCCTGTCTGGAGGATTTGGTGATCCCCTGCTACTAGACACGGAAGCCTGTTAAACGAAAGCTTCTTCTATTCCGTCCACAACCATTTGAACCATTTGATCGTACTAGTCTTGGTGAATTTATCACTTGTTTGGTGGGTATAGTGACAACTAAAAAGCTCGCTGAAGGCAAAACTGGACGTAATCTAATGAAGCAAGTACTTGAATTTGATGTTTTTAAGCATAATTCCACCGTCAAGAAGGGTATAAACTGTACGCTTGCTCAACTTGAGTATGAAACCAACTTCGGGTAAATCGACAATCTTTAAACGTATACATTAACCTTACGTCCAATTCAGAATGGCTAGCATGACACCTCTGATCCTATTACTATTTGTCCAACACACCAATGATATTCAGGTGTAAATCTGGTAGAACCATAAGTCACGGTGTTGATCAAAATGTATGCTGTGTGACCAAGCAATAAATTTGGGAATATATTAGTGAAGATTTCCTGTCATGACATGAGAATAGCCAGTGAAATCCAGATGTGTCTTAAACTTGCGAAACCCGTTTCAAGGTGCTGGCACACCATAATTATTACACATGGTCAATCCTAAGGCCTCGACCATTTAAACAATTCAGCCTGTCTTCGGATTACTAATGACTTACTAACATTACATTTGTCAATCCCTTGTAGCGTGGCGTCGAGTTGTGATTAACTATGAACACCGCTACCAAGAAACACGTGCCAAGTAAATCAGAAGGCGTAAGAAGCTCGTTCCAAATGACTCCATAAAATCCCCGAGAAGCCGAATACCAGAAGGCAATTAATGGACCAAGTCGAGGTTTATTAGCTGGCGATCTCGTGGCATCGAAAGGATACCGAGATCGTGCCAGGATACAACCTTGGTTACAGAAGGTAACCGAATTCGCGCGAAGTTACAATCAAAGTGTAAGTATAAGAATGGAAGCACAAAATAGCTGTCATTAGCACAGTCAAACAAAAGCACATTAAAATAAACACTGGTACAGTTGGTTATAATAATAATTGTTTTTATTAAACCAGTCGTGTTCTCGTGATAAATGTGAGTCACTACAGGAGCCCCCCGCTAGAAAGGGTTTACACTTTCGATAAATAGCGGTTTGAATCGTGGGACTGATCGGCTGACGAGCGATTGTAGGACGGAAGAATTGGCGAACAGGAAAGCGATCGTTGATCGTCGAGTTGCCAACGAAGGTCGTTTTCGGAGAACGGTACCAGGAGCGATGTGCTGTATTTGTTGCTTGAGTTGGCATGCTACACGAGAGTGGTTTGTATCCAGAATCTGAAGATGGCGTTCGTAGGGTGTGGACCAGAAACGCTGCAGACGTAAGACGAAACCACGTTGAGCCAATGAACCAGAAGCGACCAAAACGACCAAGTTTTTTTTTTTTCGTATGCCAAGCATTCGAAACCAAAATATCGACTGAGTGCGTTGACAAGAGCGTGGGTGGCCAATCCAGCTTTCGCCAAAGTTGACTGAAGTCGACGGAACCAAACGGAGATGGTCGAAGGCGTGGGCTCAGGAAACAAAAAGAAAATCAAAAAAGAGAAGAGTGTAGCATGCGTGTAGTATAGGAATAATCCTACACCGTATCGTTTTTAACTGTGCGGCTAGTCGCGGAAGCGTACGGGTAACCGTACTCGGCGACCGGAACGTGAGACGGTAGTCTCGTTCGCGTCGCGTGAGCCTGCAATCTCATCCGAAGTCAAGGGCGGCGTGGTCTGCTGATCTGGACGTGAGACTGTCGTCTCGTCCGTAGACGGTGCAGATGACGCGTGCTGTTGACTGGGACGTGAGATTGAGGTCTCAGATGTATCTAGCGTGGGACCTGAAGATGGTTTGAGGATCCCGCTAGTAGGTTTGCTAGGTCTAGCATTGAATCTCAGGTTATCAGATAGGGCACTGTCATCGACGTGTGCTGGTTTGAGACGATCAATGCTGACGATCTCGACGCGTCCATATCGATCAACCTTGAAGGTCTTTTCGTGACGAGCGATCACGTGAAAAGGGCCTTCGTAAGGTTGTTGCCAAGATTTGCGTACCGAATCTACTCGTATGAAAACATGTGAACAGGTAGATAACTCTCGAGGGAGAGCGACCTGTCGATGTTGTATTCGAGTTGACACCGGAGACAGCGTTCGCATAAATGCAGACAGTCGATGGACGTAGTCTGATTTACCGAAATTAGGTCTGCTCCGTGGTGTGAAGAATTCTCCGGGCAGACGCAATGTCGTGCCGTATACAAGTTCAGGGCGGAACATTGGATATCTGCCTTTAAGCTCGTTCTGATCCCTAAAAGAACGAGCGGTAAGGTTTCGTGCCAGTTGCCGTTTTCGTGTGCTCGTATAGCACTTTTAAGTTGGCAGTGAAACCGTTTACTTAACCATTTGGTGCTGGGTGGTAGACAGATATGCTTATGCGTATGCATTCCGTACCAAGCAGCCGGGTCAGCGAGGAGAACAGTTAATAGGAGAAACTTTCTCGAATAAAGCGTGGAATTCATCGTCACGCGAATAAAAAGTAACAAGGATTCGGTACACATACATGTGAGTCTATTATATTAATACTATTATTATCGTTATCCGTCATGTCGAGTATATTATATATTAAAAAATATGAAAATATACGACAGACGTGGATAGATAAATCATAGACTCACCGAATTGGCTTCTTTGGAAGATTTGATCAGAAGTTGAGGCGTGTTCCAAAATACGGCTCACCAATTTGGGATTACCAATTGTAGCGTGGCGTCGAGTTGAGGTTAACTATGAACACCGCTACCAAGAAACACGTGCCAAATAGATCAGAAGGCGTAAGAAGCTCGTTCCAAATGACTCCATAAAATCCCCGAGAAGCCGAATACCAGAAGGCAATTAATGGACCAAGTCGAGGTTTATTAGCTGGCGATCTCGTGGCATCGAAAGGATACCGAGATCGTGCCAGGATACAACCTTGGTTACAGAAGGTAACCGAATTCGCGCGAAGTTACAATCGAAGTGTAAGTATAAGAATGGAAGCACAAAATAGCTGTCATTAGCACAGTCAAACAAAAGCACATTAAAATAAACACTGGTACAGTTGGTTATAATAATAATTGTTTTTATTAAACCAGTCGTGTTCTCGTGATAAATGTGAGTCATTACACCCTATTGGGTTTCAACATTATCATAAAACTTTTTGCAACTCAGAAGACACGAAATATAATTGGTTGAATTAATGAAGTCGTTAAAATAAACACCACCAATAATGTGAACCATATGACTGTTCAATAAATGTGGTACAGGTAACTGTTTGCCTTTGTTAGCGATTATAAATTCTTTTGACCTAAATATCAGTTCCCTAAAGATTAATCAACTTATAACATCGCCATTCAATCTGGAGGTCTGATCATGTAAATGACTATTCCTGTAAATCACCTATTTTATTAATGGAACTAACCTACTGCAGAATCGAGGGAACATTATCACATCTACAGCAATACCGAAAATGTTTCAAAACTGTATGAGACGTGGGCCTGATAATCTACTCCTCTCTAAAGACTTTTGATCTTCCTGATAATCATTCAACATTCGATTTTTAGACCAGTATTCAACACACTCCATGAATGAGTAGGTATTTGTCAAGTTCCTTTTAAAAGCTACCCCATGATGAGGCCGTGGCCGCTTAGCCTCTAGATGGGGCCAACCTTTAATGAGTAAAACTGAGAAAACACCTGGGTTTTTCTCCTTGATGAGTAGTTTTTCGAGGGGTGCCTCACAGAACTTGATGGTGATGTTCTAGTTAGGAGTTCATGTTGGAAGT